GGTCTCAGGACATCCGAACGTCAATGCTGAGCGAGGACAGAGTGCAAGACCCGGAAATATATAGCCCAAGGGAAAGAGAGGGACAGGAAGGACAGCAGACCGGAAACTAGGGACAGGACAAAGAAGGAGCGCCCTCTGGCTGCAGAGGGCGTGACAAGAACATGTCTTACATGAAGATGTTCCTTAAGTATGTCATTTGTATTTTGTTCTGTAATGCAACAAACTGACCAATATACCAATATTTTTTATTTGAAATAAACGACTGCATGGCAACCCACTGCAAACAAGCAACACAAATTTCACTGAGCTGAGAATGTCTAAAAAAATGCTTCCTTAGTCACCATACTTAGCAAGTAAACATCCAACCACAATGCCACATCTCAAACATGAGCTTTGAGCTCTTTTTATTATTAACAGACACAGAAAACCTTAAGAATCACAGACCCCAGCTACATTAAAAATAGCATGAACTGAAACAGTAAAATTGTCAAGTTTCCTCACAAAACATCCATGTATGACAACAGTCCCAACAGATTCACAAGGCCAGCCTCACAAGATATATGCATATACTGTACTGTATATGATTGAGCTTGGTGTTTATTTCAGCTCTGTCTCTACTGTATGTCAATGAAGAGCATTATATCATGGGAGAGCTCTGCAGCACTAAACCACTTATTGTCAAGGACAGGTCCTGAGACACTTGGAATATCACACTTTTTGCCAGCTCTCATGTGCTTTTGTATCAATAAATGGAAACGGAGGCAATAAAAATCAAGACAGAAAAAACAAAAGATGGGATAACAGCTTACGCAAGATTTTAAAAGAGTATGGGAATGTACAGTAGTACAACAGATTAAAAAATACTACTTTGTCTTTCTAAATGGCAATGATGTTTTAAGGGTGAATACTGAGATAAGATACTCGTTGGTATTTTTAAGAGATCAGCTTTGCTTCAAAACAGATGGTGGGGGCAGCATTTCCCAAAGAACAATCCTTAGTCATTTTGCAAATATGTAGCCACGTCATGCACAAAGCTATATTGAACAGTGTGTATTCATATTTCTAAATTCACGTTTGTTTTCACATTCTCCTCTTTTCAAATGCTTTCAATAAAGGCCGCAAGATGTTTTCAAAACTTTTCATTATTTATATAAAAGGACTATCATCGAATGGGAGTTCAGTGCAATTGTTTTTATCTGTTGAGTTTTATTTTTTACAGTCATTGTGTGTCTACAATGATAAGTCTCAGAAGGGTGGCATGTTTATAAGGGATATCCATGGTGATAGTCGTCTGACAGGAAGGAGGAAGTGGTTCTGAGAGGTGCCTTGATGATGCAGCCATGAGGAGGAGGGGTAAGGGCTCTAGGGTTATAACAGAACTGGATGGTTGTGGGTTTAAATCCTGTATGGGCTATTGCTATTGCACAGTTGAGCAAAACATTCCATTTATGTTGTTCCAGTAAATACCCTGATGAAGAGTGTGTAAGTTGGTTTGGATAAAAGTGTCAAAATGATTTAGAATAAAAAGATGAGATCTGACCTTTTGTCGAAGCAGTACTATAGCATCCTGTAATACGAGCTGCGGTAAAACAGAATCATTTCCTATGGTGTCTTCTGCTCAGGAAACACCAATGAGAATTTGATTTAGTCATACCAAAATATATCCTCTGCTACACAGATGTTAAGATGAAAAAATCTAAGGGGCGTGACAGGATGAACACAAAAACAATGTAAAGTACAGTCCAATGTGAAATCTGAAAACACTATCCCCTGAAAATCATGGAATGTTTGTCTGCTCTCAATTATTTCTATGTTTAAAATGAAGGAATCAAGAAGACAAGTTCCCATAGCACTTTATATACTGTAATTAGCCAGTCGGACAATGTAGAAGATTGTGAGAAAATGCAAATTATTAGAGAGCCAATCATTGTAAATGAGGCTGCTAGTTGGAATCCTAAACAGGGATTCACACTTGATTCACAGGATTTCAGCAAATTCTCCTTCTGCCAAAAGCGCCACCTTGTTTGATGAGGCGGACTATTAGTATACAGATTAAGCAGCATACTGTATATTGCACAATGCCATCAACTTCCACACAGCTACAGAACTACAAGGTCTGCACAGGCACAA